GCTTGAAAATTTTATAGCGTTATTCTTATGTCTCATCTATGTGAAATCACTAAAAATATGGCTCATTTCACTTAGTTTAATTTGAGAACAAGTGGTCTTATAATTATGCACCACACTGTATGTTAAATATAGTTAACCACCGACAGACAAATTAGTATTTATGTTTCTTTTCAGAAATGTTCGTTATCCGTTTAAGAAATCACATACGAAAGACTACACAATATAAAAACAAAGAATCATCCTATAGATTGCAACACAACATTCATACTTGAAAGTCCGTGTTTTAAATGATATGATAACAATCCAATGAGTGATTTTCATGACAAAACTGTTCATTTGAAAAAATCAAAAGAATGATGTAGTTGTGTGATAGACTGATCAGATTGATTATTTTGATAAATGAATTCTATCAGACAATCTCAAAATTCATAAGAGAACATATTTTATTGAAGTCCATTTAAAATAAGAGATATCTGACTGAGCACTTCAATGCAATTGATCCTTCATGAAATGTAAGACAAAAAGTTTTTCTTTCATTTTGCTACAGAATTGAGCTAGTCAGTTTATTTGGATACAATGAAGAAGAATCTTTGAATATCGATTAGAATCCGAATTGGTTTTCTTTTCGATCATCGTCTCATATTGTTTGTTGTCTGTGATCCATAGAAATGCCATGGTCAATATCAGATATCCAAAATGGAAATTCAATCGATTTTTTTCCCATACAAATGAAATAACAATAGAGTAGTAGATATGAACTGATATCAGCTGCTATTTTATTTACAGAAGAAGAACAAAAAAAAAGAAAAAAGAAAAACAGGAAATGTTCAGTTCACTATTTCAAAGTTGTCCTTGATGATATCATTTCGATTGAGCCAATAGAACATTTAAAGAATGAACATGTTTTGTTGCTAGAATCACTTTCGATTTTTCTTTAGAAAGTCTTGAATGATTTTTAAAATAACTGGACCAAAGTTGATAGAATTGTCGATTAAATTGACATCTTGGACCTTGTTCATATAAATAATTAAAATGAATTAAATGACCACTATCATCGATTTGTTGAGCTATTTCTTGTGATTCATTTTTCATTGTGATAAAATCAAACCAATGTTGCCGAAATGTTTCATAGATCATTTGATCCATTAAATAACGCATGTTATATGCATGAAAATAATCGAAAAAATGTTCTACATGATGTTCAACAAATTCTAATGAATAACCATTGACAAGCAGAGAAAGCTCAAGATAGATAAGCTCTTGTTGAAAATCATTCACTAATGAACAACAACATGCCGCTCGAATTAGAGCTGATCGAAATCATATACTATACATAAGTTTGGGATGACCTGTTACATATGGTAGAGTATAATTTTTTGTTTTTAGTGTTGTATCACGATTGACTCGAGTATATAATTGACTCTTTCGATTTGCAACAAATAAATTCAAATAGTTGACCATAGAACCGATCGATGTATAAATCCAGAAGATAAAGCAGTAGGAAATAAATAAGAAAAGAAAGAGATAACTGCTGTAAATAACATTTTATTAAATATTTATTTCAAACAGAAATAAAAATAGAGAGATTCAAGCTTTCGTGTCCTTGTCTGAAACACATCATCAGGAATGACAATAGAAAATCATTCATTGTATTTATATAACAAGGAAGAAGAGAGAAAAAAGAAAAAAGAACAATGTTACAGGAATATTTCAACAAAGAAGGAAAAGAACAGTCCATACAATGAAATCACGAGTGCCGGTGATAACAATCAAACTGACCGACACGTTGTTCAACACGAAATATTTCGTTTTTTTCATTTTTCATTTCTCATTGAAAAGAAACATTATGACAGGAATAAGTATTTAATCAAAAATTAGTTTTATATTCTGCAGTAACATTTGTTTTTCATCAACTAATTCTTTAGATTTCACTGACTATATCTTGATCAAAGTTATAGAAAAGATTTAAAACTCAAGAATGAAACATGCGAATAAATTATTTATATCGATGAAAAAAAAATAAAAAGTGTGTAATTTTTAATCAAATTCAACTTTTATTATCAAAAACAAATGTTTTTATTAATTCTAATTAATTTTACAAAAATCAAAGGTTTATATGAATTTTTATGAATATTATAAAAAAAACAAAGATTCATATCGATTTCATTTGATATTATAAAAGTCAAATATGTATATGAATTCTAATGAATATTATAGACATCAACTATTTATATTAATCTCATTTGATATTACAAAAATCAAACATTTATATTTNTTATTACAATTTATATTATACCAATGAAATAGTTTTATGAATTCCAAGTGATATTGTAAAAGAAAAATATTTTTATTGATTCAAGTGGATATCAGAAATCGTAAAATGTAGAGTTGCGAATGTTATGTTCAGAAATTAGTTTAGGCTGGTAAAATTGATAATTATTTGATAGTTGTGATAATGAGTAGACGATCATGAGTTTGTGATTCAAAACAGTTTTGTTACTTTTCTATGGTTTATTAGCAAAATGATACGGAGAATAATAAAATTCAGGAGGGAAAAAAATAGCAAAAAGCGATGTTTCTCTTGTATAGTCAATCAATACAATACATTCGACGTATATTGTTGTTGGATCTATCAATAATTTTCGTGGCATATAATTTTTTGATTCGTAGGATGTTAACAATATGTTGCGCTGCAGTTGTTATACCACTAATTGGATTATATCGATCGGTTTCTAATGTTGATGGTCGTAGAAAAGGAAAATCTGTTTCAATTATTATTCGAGCTAAAATGTCGTGTTGTGTAAGTAACCAATTGTTGAAATTTTTTTGAGAATCGATGTCGTTCGGAGTTGTGATTGATCCATTTAAACCAATAAAAGAATTTTTAAAATAATTAAGGAAATTTGATATAACATTTAAATTGGTTTTGGAATTAATACAATGCCAATGAATTTTATGGGTGTCGTTCAGATGTAATTTCAGCTCGCGTAGCATTGGTTCAAATGAATTAACTCCACGACCATGAAGTACAATTGGAAGTTTCATTTCAGCTGCTAATTTAAGTTGGTATTTAAATATAAATAATTGAAAATCATACGAGCAATTACTTGTATCATCGAGTCCACATTCACCGATTCCTACTGTAGTAGTGGTCAATTGAAATTTATTTTTAAAGATATTATCTAATTGTTGTAAAACACTTTGTGGATCAGATGGAAGATATTTTGGATGAATTCCATATGTTGTAAATATTTTTACATTCGGACTTTGTATCTCATAATTTGCGAACCATCTGTAGTGTTGGTGACGATTATCTATGAGTATGATTTTCCTTCCATATGAAAGTTGTAAATTAAAGTCATTTTCATTTAATCCATATTTGAAAAATAAATCAACATGGCAATGACCATCATATAACGGTAAGGTGATTGGCAGATGGTATTTGGTTTTACACGAACATACATTGTAAAGACTGTTTTCACAAATAGCAGTCATTTCCACAGAGTAATTTTCAACTAAGATACCAATTGAATCAATTCAAAAACCTACAAAAATGAACCAATTTTTTTTGTTCATTCACACAAACATCGATGACCCTCCTTTACATAAGACAGGTAATGAACAACCATTTAATATGATCCATTGTTTATCCGTCTGACAAATAATGATCGTATGACAGCGACAGAATACAAAAACAGCCATCATATACGTTCTTTACCTCTATCTCTCCAATTAATATACATACCATTCATCTCGAAACATAGTTATTTGATAAGAATTCATATCGAAACTATATATAGCACCTTATATTCACTTTAACGTTTACGCTTACTATTCAAAGTTCTTAAAAGTCCACCTGAACTGCTTTATTTTTCATTTATTTGGTGTTACAGGTGTCACTCGACCTCTCGAACATCACTTAGTTACGCCGAATACTTCCAAAATGAAAACGCAGATTTAGTTAAACTTTCAAAAAGTTAAAGCTCCATTCCCGTACCTAATCAAAACTTCGTTCCACCCACAATTCTTCAACTTCTTACTAATTTCAATCAATTTTCCAAAATAACTGTCTTCTCAAAACGTAAAACGATATAATTCATAATCTCCATACATATAAACTTCGTACGAACAACAGCTTTCCCATCTGAATATAACCTTCGCAACTCTCATTTTATGATTTCTGATATTCACTTGAAA